GTTTGCAGGTAGTTGTATAAAAAAATAATAGCATGATTTGTACGTGATATTTGGCATAAATACCACTTGTGATATTTCAAAATTGTCTCAAATTTCACCCGCCAATTAAACGGCTCGTGAAATTAGCTATAGCAATTTCGATAGCTCACTCGTAGTGTTTATGCCAAATATCACTTCAAATCATGCTATTACCTATACAAATATCATTCCTCTCGAAATTCTGGCCAGTACCGTAGCTCAAGGAGGGGGTTCCGGAACCCCTGAAACCCTCCCCTGGCTACGCCACTGTGTTAATTGAGAGCCCTTTCAGTGTGATTATTACAAACTCCGACCCGTAAAGATTTGTGTTGTCGCGTCCAGAACAAGACTCACCAAACGATTCATTCAGGTGCTTGTACATTGGTCGACAATTTTTCGTGAAAAATCATGCAGTGAAGTCCAGATATCGCCTCTTTTTAATCACGAGAGCTGTTTAGAAATTGGCCTTACTATCATTGGTAGTCTTTCCTTATTTTAATAAGGAAAGACTAAAATGGTTGTTTATGTTGTATTGTTATGACAACGCTGATAACTATACATTGGCGATTACTTCTGAGACTGATTTGCCTTGAGAGATTAAGAATCATCAGTTCAACAAACGCAATTCTCAAAGTCAAGTTGACGACTTCCTCTCACTGTAAGAAATGAACCGATAAATACTGTGCTTTAACTAGTAATTAACATCAAATGAAACTGGCGTGAAACTACTCCCTTTCTGTAAATATAAAGAACAGTACACAACATTTAAAGGGATGGAACAAATATCCATTTGCCGTAAATGTGTAACCTCTCTATTGAGTCAATATATATAAGCCATTTCCGATTTCCAAAATCTCACTTTCACATTTCTTGTGAAAATGAGATTTATTTGCAGGAGGTTGAAAAATTATTTTCACATCAATATTTTGATTTAATCTTTATTTTCGTGAAACGAGCAGCATTGCAAATATTTTGTAAAAAGAGCTCCGCATTATGTTTTGCCCTGGTTCTGAAGATTTTCATGTTTTTCGTGATACGCGCAAGTTTACTTCCTTACAGTGGAGACTTTTTGAATATTTGTGGCAATAACTTTGCGGAAACATCTAAGTGGAAGCATATTTGTTTACATTAAGTTCAGTCAACTTCCTTAAAACCTCTCTTAAAAAATGCCTATTGACAGTTCTTCACGATATCTCGGTGAATACACGGACAATGCGAAGATTAACGATTTATGTTTTTCAACGTTTCTCCTCACAGAACGGAGATACATTAAATTAGGTACAATCACAATCTTGGAAACGTGATTTGCTCGAATCGCGTGTACGTCAACAAGTCCTCAGTGCCATTTTACACTGACTTATATTTTAAAAATACTTACGTCAACTCCAGAGGAGGATCGAATAGTATCCCATGATGCATTTTTCCGGAAGCATCACGCAACATCGCAGTCATAGCAGATTCCATCTTGAAATAAGGTCGTTTTCTCGTCGGCTTTTTTCTCACTCGATTTCCAGTAAAAGTAAAAAAATTACATTATTTCGTTATTTGACATGATTTCTCCGATTTGCAATGGCTTAAGAGCGAAGTTTCCACTTAGAAACATTTATTTTCACGGTTTCAATTAGTCTTCCCATCACAAAGTGTTCAGTGACCCACAACCAGGTCATGAATATTCAAGATTTTTTGGAATATATGTTGAAATCTTACAAATGTGGACCTCACGCCAGCAAAATGAAGTCCTGAATATTGTACAGGCCAAGAAGTACCCAGAAGTACCCACATTTTGAAGACTTTTTTGTCGACCAAAGATGGCTGAAATTTCGAATCTTTTATCACATTTCAACGCCATGTGTCATAATATATGTGTAAAGCCTGATGAAGGCTACAATCTGTTGGGCGCTTTTGAGAGCGCTTTATGCCGAAGCAATCACTTTGTATTTTCAAAGCGGTTATTTTTAAAAGGAATTTGACTATAAATATTTTAATTCGAAGAAGGAGCGGTGTATAACGGTGTGTTTCAGTGTGAAAAGAACCCAAAGAAAGGTACCACGCAGCATGCAAGCCGGCACAACGTAAACTGAAGCCTGCTCAGAATTTGAAAAAGAAACATCATGCAGAAACTTTATTTATTCAAAAGAACAGATCAGTATTCTGGCCAGGAAATTTCCTTGAAGATTGCTTGAGTCAGTACCGGGTAGACTGTGCTTCAGAGAATTGTTTGTCGCATCGATAGGTTAAATTTTATTTGTAACTGCCATTGTAAACTTCAGCTCCTTTGAGCGCGATGCTGTAATAAATTCTCCTTTGGTAATTAGCTTCACAGCGTAGCGGATGTTTTGTTGGAACCACTTTATAGATCAGTCATAGTTTTGGTTCTCCTCTGGCCTGGGTTCTCCTAGTGAACCTAGCGAAGCTTATCAATTGCGAGTCTTATAATTTGTGTTTACAGTGCGACCGAGCGCGGCACAAGTAGTTCTCGACAGATCAGTGAAATACATGTAAAACCCTTCTCAGTCAAAGCAACGCTGAAATTCTCCTTTAAAGCACAGTGAATATAAGCCAACTCGATAATCTGAAAAGCAGAAGCTGCTGAACCGAAACATGTTTGGAAACCATCCACATCGAGCACTGCGATCGACGTTCACTTCACGCGTGCTGAAGATTACTGATCATGATGTGTCACGTACGCAGTGATAATATAACATGAATCGAGGTGCATCATGGGATACTATTCGATCGTCGTCTGCGTCAACTCTCTATTAGACTAATTTGACAGACGAGAGCAACTACCAATAACAAAATGCAACAGAAAAAAATTCCTCGCGCCATCACGCAAACAGGTTTCAAAAGTAAGCAGCTTAGAGACCATTAGTTATAAATTAGGCACTAAGTTGATGTAAGGAGCGGGCGTCGATAGAAAGAAGAAAAAAAGAGTATCGGAAGAAGCCTGTTTTACCGACGGCATCAGTCATTTCAATGCACCCTTGGTGTTCGACCATGTCCATCACTGAAAACTCCATTTACGGTAGCCTGCGAAAACATCTGTTTCTCCTCGCTCTTCGCCGCTGGGGACGTTTCGCGCGAAACATCCCCAGCGACGAAGAGCGAGGAGAAACGGATGTTTTCGCAGGCTCCATTTACGGAACCAAAAAACAAAATGAAAGTGTTACTGAGGATAGCTTTTTTTGATGATGAACTGTGAAGCGTGAAAAATTTCCATGCACATTAAAAGTGCAGCCAGCTAATTTGCATAAACCAAAAACCAAGGTAAACCAAGGTAAACCATAAACCAAGGTCTGTCCCCTGTCGGCTCTTGAAGTGTAAGCTAAATACCCTCAGACTTCCCGCAATCTCCCACAGAAGAATAATTCAAGCTACCAAAACTTAAACGGAGCAAAGAGCAATTTCCGATAAAAGGATTTTTTAAGCACTTTCACACCCGGGGATCGGGGGTGGGACTCCGCATATGAAAGGGGTGGGGATGCTCGTTGTCTCGCTTAGGGGTGTAAATTTCGGATTTTGGTCTCACTTTATTGTGTATTGAAGCGATTTTGTCTAATAGACATTCTTATAACACGAGCGCCACGACATACCTGAAATCTGTCTGTCAACAACTTCAGGAAATCACACAATTAACCACGTTCGCGGCACTGATAACAATATCCACAACCAACCAGACACAAAGTTTCCACACTTAATACGGGCGAAATATCATCACATTACTCTCTCTCAATAACTCTCGCTTTCTCCACATACATCATCACAGGTAAACTTTGCTGACACAGTCGATTTATTCAAGATCCCGCATGTAGACGGGCCGTTTTGAAAGGGACACATGGGGCGCGATCCATTCAACCAAAATTTCCGGAAATTTCGGTCCAAAACTCAGTGGGTCGGTTCGGTCCGACCGGAAAAATTTCGAAGAAACGGGTCCACCTTTTGAGGTGGACCACTATTCCCCGGTCGGACCGGTCGGAATTTTGGTTGAATGGATCGCGCCCATGGTCTCTGGCCTGGTCAGAAATCAGCATCAATTTTGCTCTCGCCGACTAGTTTTGACTCCTAAAAGCTACTTTTTGAGGCCAGAGACTGTCACCACTCACATCAAAACTCGCAATATGATGCCTTTCCGTCTCAAGCCCAAGATCAGTGTTTCACCCGATTAGGCAAAATGAGACGAAATACGGTAACATATTGGACGACGGCAGACTTTGCCAATCGTGAGACTTGTTCCTTCATAAGGCTTAATGATGCCTTCCGGAAAACTTTGCTGGAGGCGGCCAAAAAGAAACCTAGAAAATCAACCGACCACGGAAAACAACCTCTACCGCGCGCGCTGACTTCAAATGTCATAGTGTAGAGATTAATGGGAAATGATAGGTAGGGGAGAACTGCGGGAGAGGCGGGGGGTGGGGAAGATGTAAACAGCATATTAAACACATGTTTTTGATCTACTGCAGCTTTTAAGGGGATTTTTGTACTGAAAAGATCATTAAAAAACAAACAAACAAACAAACAAACAAACAAGAATGGTCAAGTACTGACCAAGCCTCAAATGAGACTGTTGCTAAAAATTTCTGGAGGTACCTTTTATTAAATCCAGACAGATATATATTGTCTCTGTCTTGACATCGTCTCTTTTAGGGGTCAAAAAAAAGCTTGGGCCACGCCCAGAGTGGTCTCCTTTAGGGGTTTGATTCAAAATTTCCGACGAGCATCCGCACTCCTTTCATATGCGGAGTCCCCCCCCGCCGGGCTTTCACATTCTTCCTTTCGAAAATTTTTCTACCTTGGAATAAATGTTACAATGTTAAAACAGCTTACCGTAATACAAAAGTGCAAACAGTTTTCATTTTTCATCTACTAATAACGCATCTTAATTTTAAAATTCCTCTATGATAACTGCTTTTCTTAAGATACCGATACGATCAATATTGATATTTGTTATTTTAAAAAAATTAAAAACAAAAATGACAAAGAAACTACAAAGCGGGGTGTAAAGCCGCTTTTACCTCGGAGACCGACGGTCTATCCACAGGCTGGATAGACAAAGCGCGCTTAATAAAATCTGTATTTTGAAATTTCAAAATTGTGTCAAATGATTGGATCATGAAGGCGAGTGAATACACGTCACTTTCGATCGAAGGTTTCCCTGTTCCGCCGACAGGTTCAGGTGCAATGTAGCTGTTCTTGTATTTCCCCTTTAAATGGGCCGGTTTGGGGACGGGATTATTAGCCTTACTGAAGGCCACACTTTTGCCAAAATCAATTATGACCGGGTGAAGAACCTGGTCATCACGTTTCTCTAAAACAACATGATTTGTTTCAAGGTCATTGTGCGCAAATCTACACTTGTGAATATGCTGTAAAGCATCCGCGGTATCATAAAAAATTCTATTCCAGTCTCTTTTTAGTGAAACTATTTTGTTCTTCGCCGCTTTGTTAACGGCAAGGCTCTCATCCCCGTTTCCATGAAACTTCAGCACAAGACTGACAGGCACTTCTTTTAGGGAGACCCCAAACAGAAGAGGAATTCCTGGATGATCTCCCAGATTAAGCAGAACACGTGCTTCATGTTTTCCCTCTTTTTGTAAGAGAGACAAATTGTGGCTGTTATTACGAGCGTAACGTTTATCTTTATAATGTTTTATAACGACAGGAATTCCGCTGTAAGTACCAAAAGTGCCGCTGCCGATAGACCGAGACCGCTCTTTTCTAATCAAATTTTTTGCAGCCAGCTCCTTGAATTCCGAACTCTCCATGGGTTTTGGAACCGCAGAAACTAAAATACACGACTTAGACTGTCTCCCTTGGCTGGCTGCAATAGTTTCTCCTTTCTTTTTTTGCTTTTCTATTTCTTGTCGGATAGACGCGGAAACCATCCTTTTGCCTCGGGGAAAATATTTCTCTGGAACCAGCTTTCTTTTTTTTTTGCTCTTCTCTCGAGACACGAGGTAGCACATTTGTCTCACCACTTGTACTTCTTAATTGGCTTCTTCTCTCATCAACGATCTCAACCCCTGCTTGCAAACTTGGTTTTCACTCTCTTCTTCCGTCTCTTCTTTTACTCCTTTCTTAAATTTTTGTAATAGCTCTGTCGCTCTTTTGAAAACTCTTTCGCGCGTACTTTAAACTATTTGTTAGATTCCATGGTTGCAATCGGACAATGCTAACAATATCAAACGGCCTTTTTAGAATGTTCAAAACAAGGGGGATTTGTGTTGTTGATGACGGAAAATGGAAACACCCTTGCAGGTCATTAGTTGTGAAGGTTCAAAGTTGTGAGAAGTTGTGTATTTTTACTCCTTATCAGGGTACAGTGTTTTGGCACTTGGAAATTCAGATGTCTTGCAAGGCTTTCTTTAGTGGTAAAATCATCTTAAATAACATTAAGATTGGGAAAATGTTTAATTAAAGTTAGAATTCACTGTTTACTTTACTTGAATTTAGCATTTTTTTTACGAATTATTCAATTTTTCTCAAATTGTGCGATCGGATGCGATTTGAGGTCAATTGTAAATCGCACCATCGCGTAATGTCAGATGGTCTGATATGTCAGCTATATCCAGTGAATAAAGACGTTGTTCACGTATTGCCTAAACCAATACTGATGCAAGGTCTACACCACATGGAATGGAAGTCGGTGTTTATCTCTTTGATGGACAGAGTTGTATGTACAACCCCCAAAACTAGCTTTTTTACTGCTGTAAGCAGACAAAAAAAAAATGCTACACATTAACATTGTGGATAGCAGCCTATGATACTTTTTTGTACACAAACCAGAAGGCACAACAAAGCAATAATATTTTTCCGTTTCCAAATTGTTGGCTAATTGAACAATCAAAGAGGAGTCCATTTGTATGGAAGAGAAAGCTGGTTTAGTTGCATTGATGAACTACTTGTTAATTCCAGGAAGCAACTCCATGGCAACAGGATTGCTGAATAGAGGAGTACATGTACAGTAGAACTGGGATAATTGGATTCGGTTCATGTTATTTTCTCAAGAAGTATCCCTTTTTTAAATTTCATTTTAAGAACTTTAAGGTGATAGGAAGAATCAAGGGATTTTAGGAAGTGTCTAAAAAATTCACATTCACATCAAGGATGCATGAGGGGGGAGGTGATACCAGAAAGGCAAGTTACAAGGAAGAAGTACTGCAAATTAAAGAATACACCCAGTGTTTCTGCGTGATATTCAGTGATGACACAATCAGAAATTCCAGCCCTCCTGTTTTGGCTGGAAACCTCCCCTTTTTCGGCGAATATTTCTGACCTCCTGTTTTCGCTTAAAAATTCTCCCAGTTTCTGAAACTCTTCCCAGCCAATCAAAGATTAAAGTTTTCTTTGATTAACCAGTCTTTTAAGCATGATTCTTTGCCGTTTTCCCGTGGTTTCTCAGCCATATTTTATACCTTTTGGCATCTGAGCATGAGCCTGCAATAATTTTGGATCTCATATCTTAAAATTATCTTTCCCCGTGGGAGCATGCCCCAGACACTCCTAGAGGCTTGAGCCTTCGGTGTTAGAACAGCTATGCCGCTCCAAAAACCTCCCTTTTTCACTTAATGGGGTTGGAATCTCTGCACAATGGGATTTTTTGTTGAGGGGAGGCAAGGGTGAGAGGGGATTATCTTGGGGACTAAGCCCATGAGGTTATTAGTTTAAAACTTTTTTCCCATTTGGAAAACAGAAATCCATTAATTTGTTATTTTTTGGTAAAACTTACCCCAATTCTTCCAAGCTGAGTAAGGTTGAGTTATGTTTGCCATGCACCATCCGGTAATCTGGCTTGCAGTTTGAAATAGAGCATGACCCAATCAGGCACTCGCATACCTTTCAGCAGCCGCTGATAAGTCATTGGTAAGAGCAGCTCTGTTAGTCCTTTCTTAGTTCCTCGGGCATCCATGACTAAATTGACCATTTCCGATATGGTTTCTGAGACCTTTCCTTCCTCTTCATCAGCACCTTACAAAAAACTGTTTCCTAATACACAGGCAAGTGTCTGATAATATTTTGCTAACTCACCATCTACAAAAGCGCTCGTTTTCCTGCATTCAGTCACAACTTTCCTCTTTTTTAAGGTTGGACCTAAGAAGCCGTTTAACGTTTCCTCGATAACACTGGCGTTGCTAATACTGCTGTTGCAGTTGCTGCTGCAGCTAGTGTTGTTGCTTGTGCTGCTGGTGCTGGTGTTGAGACTGTCGATGCTACAATATTTTGACGAACAAGATGGAGAAGAGGTTGCTATAGGAGGAGAGGATGGCAGAAATGAATTTAGATATTCATTACTCTTTTCAAGTTCACGCATTTTGTGCTCCGGCTCGGCGATTCTTGTTTGCATTTTTTGCAATTCATCATTTGAATGGAAGGTTTTCCCGCCATAACTAACACGCATTCCACTGTCGATAGCGATTCCATTCAGAACTGCGTCAACAACAAGGTTAATTTTTTCAGAATTTAGAAAACCTTCAGTAGGAAATTCTCGTTGTCTAAGCAGTCCGGTACAAAGACCGAACGTGGATACAACATACAAGTTGTTCGGTTGTCTGGTGTGGAATGAACAACCGCAGGCTTGAGATCCGCTGTCAGAACAGAACATATTTCATCGGGGATTCGACGGAAAATTTTGTTCTTTGCAAAAGCGATTGGTCTGGTCCCACACAAACTTTTCGTAACCACGTAAGAGTGCTTTCCAGGGTCTCGAAAGCGACCATGGCCAAGGACTAGTCAATCGATCGAAGACGTCGGAGTCCATGATGAAATCGCGCCAAATGATTTAGATTAAAGATTCATTGTGCTTTCTAAATTGAATTTCGCCCTCAAGTTAAGTATCTATAATGTGGTGAACAGTTAACTTATTAATTTGACCTAACCCAATGCACGTTTCCCTGAAGCGGCGATGTAAAATAAATTATCGGACAATGGTGATCGTGATCGATCTGGGACCCATAGCTTAGGAGGCGCTTGGAAGTAGTGGGCGAAAGAGAGAAAGGGCGCGCGCGAGGGAGACAGGCGAGGGGTGAGGGAGCTACCTCTTCCCTCGTGTGTCTCCTTCTCGCGCGCCCGTTTTTTCTGGAGCCCACTACAATAGAAAGCGCGCGCGGCATTACAAACAGCAACGGTTACCAACAACTTAACCTGACATCAGGCCCAATTTTAGCGGTTCTCATACATTCTCTCTAATGGCTACCGCAAAAATCTACTTTCTTTTCGCCTTGCCCGCCGGAATATTATTTATATTTTCAAAGCGAAACGAAACCAGAGCCTGATCTCAGGTTACCAACAACTGACCTTGGTTCTATAATACCGGAAATCGAACCTTTTTTTCCTGTTTTAGGCAACATTTTAACTCAAACGGAGGTATAGGGATTCGGGGACGGGGTTATCCAGGACCTTTAAATGTAGCACCGTGCTAGAAACGGTAGAATTGATACTGAGTTGATTCAAATTGACTAGGTCCAAAATCGATTTTTTGGGCATTCTTCATGAGGCATTTCTTTTCACGATGCAGTTCTAGGATTTTTACCACTTTTATTTTTTTAAGCATTATTGTTCTTCTATTGTTTTTTGCCTCGCGAGAGTGCTCATGCAGACGCATTCCTTTTTTTATCAACCAGATTAATCTCGAGGATATGTGGTTTTGTTAAATAAACGCAAGAACACATGCCGAAAGCAACGGGTTGATCTGTTTCTCCTCACTGTTGACAGAAATGATTGGCGCAAAATATCGCTTCTATGGAACTCATGCTGTGAATTTGTTTCCCAACCTAAGCTCCTCATTAGTGAGTGAGTGAGTAGGGGCGATAACCTGCGAGCAAGCTCTCCTCTTTGGGCGAGCGAAGCGAGTCTCGCTACTACGCACGAACGAGTGGTGAGGCCGCGAGGGGCCGAGGACTCCTTTCGGATTCCTCGGCCCCTCGCTCGCGCGTTCTCGCGGGGCTCGCTTCGCTCACCTAGATAGGAGAGCTTGCTCGCAGGCTATCGGCGGGGCGATGCAAGAATTACATGTTAACAACGAAAACTGAACGAGGAAGTGAATGACGATTTGGCCGTGAAGAGGGAGGAAGGTTTTATCCGTTGCTCACTTGTTAAGTTGGATCACGGTGAGTATAGAAAAAAAATTAAACCAGTTGATTATGATAAATGTACTGAAGAGTTAGGTGATTCCAGTCCAGTTCGAAAACGATTACAGCTTCGAGTAGCATTCCAGTAGACCACTTTAATATGTGATACTTTACACATGACGTGATACACCTCTGTTAGTCTGTACTGTCCATGATCATGACAGTAACGACAAATTTAGAGTTCCAAGGGACTGTTTATTTGAGGTCAGTGAGCTAGTCCGGTTAGCAGGGCTGGCCCGCTTTACCTCTTAAAATTGTCGTTGTGTTTATGTGAGAGGCGGGCTGACCCGCAGGCTAACCCGCCTGCCGGGATCTTGGCTCGGTAAGTCTTGCCCGCTCGCCTACTCATATAAACACAACGACAATTTTATGAGGAGACAAGACATTAGCCGAACTAGTCCGGTAAAGCGGGCCAGCCCAGCTACCCCGGCTAGTTAACCTGTCATAAAAGAGGCCCCAAGATAGTAAGGCTAAGAGAAGGAAAAGTTTAAAACCTTTAAACAGGCCCCAAGATAGTAAGGCTGAGAGAAAGAAAAGTTTCAAACCGACAAATTAGCCGAAATATTTCTAGCTCTAACAGACGAGATCGAGATCGAAGAGGCGCGATCTCTTAAAGTCATTGCCTCGATGTTTTGAAAATCATCTTGGCCAACTATTTCAAAGTCGTTGGGACAGCTGTCTTTGTTGGGGTCGTATCTTAGTAGTGAGGTTTGCTTGCGTTTCATGATTTGCGAACTTTTGTTATAATCCGCAGAATCTTTCTGCTAAATTATCTTAGAGCCTGCCAGTTTGTGCTCTATGGAGAGTTGTATATATTTTCCTGGTGAGAAGATCAGCGACAGATGCCACGGCGAAACCCACATTGGGCAAAAGAACCATCACAGAATTTAGCCGAAACGTGATGCGGAAGATGACGTTTGGCAAAAGAACTATCACAGAATTTAGCCGAAACGTGATGCGGAAGATGACTTGTTTGGGCACCAAACATTGAAGTTTCACAGCCGATCATCAAATTTTCGGTGTAAAGGTCGAAATTTTATTCCGTTCCTTTCACTGCAAAATTCTCGGGGACAAACGGAAATTCTGAAAAGGTAGTCCCGTTTTCCCGATTGGGACTTTCCGAATGGAAATTCGTTTACCATTTACAAGTTTCTTGAGTTTCGTACTGGTTTCATGTTGTAACTAGAATCCAGTCTAGTGCGGTGCGACAATCCGGAAATTTTAGGCAAATGGTAAATAACACGTACCGTTCTTACGGACCAAAAATTCCTGACCAAAATTTGCGGAATTTTTTTTATAAATGGTAAACAACCATGGTTTCGGTTCTCCTGGTGAAACTTATCAGTTGCCGAGTCTCACTACTTTGTGTTTAGTTGCGACCGAGTGCACAAGTAGTTCTCGACAGATCAGTGAAGCACATGTAAAACGTTAACCCTTCAAAGTAACGTTGAAATTCTTCTTTAAAGCACAGTGAATATAACGTAACTCGATATTCTCAAAAGCAGAAGCTGCTGAAACGAAACATGTTTGGAAACCATCCACATCGAGCACTGCGATGTTCCGCGAGTGCTGAAGAACACTGATCATGATCAGATGTCACGTACGCAGTGATAATATAACATGAAACGAGGTGATTTTTTTACATATAGTTCAGTCAACTTCCTTAAAACTCGATCCTCTTCACAAGTGCCTATTGACGGTTCTTCACGATATCTCGGTGAGTACACAGATAAAGCAACGATTAACGACTTATTTTTTTAAAGGTTTCTGTTCATAGAACGGATATACAATAAATTAGGTACAATCACAATCTTGGAAACGTGATTTGCTTGAATCGCGCGTACGTCAACAAGTCCTCTCTATCAGACTAGAGTTTTACAGACGAAAGCAACTACCAATAACAAAATGCAACAGAAAAAAATTCCTCGCGCCATCACGCAAACAGGTTTCAAAAGTAAGCAGCTTAGAGACCAACACTTATAAATTAGACACTAAGTTGATGTAAGGAGCGGGCGTCGATAGAAAGAAGAAAAAAAGAGTATCGGAAGAAGCCTGTTTTACCGACGGCATCAGTCATTTGCACCCTTGGTGTTCGACCATGTCCATCAAAACTCCATTCACGGAACCAAAAAGGAAAATGAAAGTGTTCAAGGTTAGCTTTTTTGTTTTGGAGAAGATGACTTTGTTGATCGGGTTGCCATGCGACAACAACGAAAACTGAACGAGGAAGTGAATGACAATTTGGCCGTGAAGAGGGAGGAAGGTTTTATCTGTTGCTCACGTATAAAGTTTGATCACAGCGAGTATAGAAAAAAAATTAAACCAGTTGATTTTGATAAATGCACTGAAGAGTTAGGTGATTCCAGTCCAGTTCGAAAACGATTACAACTTCGAGTAGCACTCCAACAGACCGCTTATGTAATACTTTACACATGATACACGAAGCCTCTGTTAGTCCGTGATCATGACAGTAACGACAAATTTAGAGTTCCAAGGGACTGTTTAGGTGAGTTAGTCCGGTTAGCAGGGTTGGCCCGCTTTACCTCTTAAAATTGTCGTTGTGTTAATGTGAGAGGCGGGCTGACCCGCAGGCTAACCCGCTTGCCGAGATCTTGGCTCGGTAAGTCTTGCGCCTACTCACATAAACACAACGACAATTTTATGAGGAGACTAGGGTATCTAAAAGATAGTAATGCTGCAGCACATTCTGTTGATACTGGCATTAGTTAGGCCGTGAGACTTAAAAGAATCGAAAATGACATTGAATGTCCTATTTGCAGGTTGGAAAGTAATAATTACCATCAGTCTATAGAAAGAACACGTGGGAACGTTGTTTAGAAAATGATCATTACGACGAGTGGTTATCAACTCTGGTTTTCCCACAGTAAATTGTAGAAAAATGATAGAAATTCAGACTGTTTATCCATATATTTGATATACGGTGTACTATCTTTTCCCTGGAAACACGATTTATTGCATTTATTAAATAACAGATATTTAGGTATCTATTTATAGAAA